CTCTACTTTAACGCTAATATAACTAAGGGTTTTCCGCTCTTCCTTAAAGAGATACTAGGCAGTTTTGCTTCCTTTTAGCACTCCCTAGTCTCATTATTAATTCTCTGTGGTTAATCCAAATGTGAAATGCATCTCCTCACTGTGAGTTCATCTTTTATTGCCTTAATCTAACTGCACAAATGTCTCCTCGGCTTTCATTAGTTTCTACAGGAGCGGATCATCACCAAATCAAACAAATCAGCTGTTTTCACAATCTAAAATATGCAGGAAATGTGCTGGAAGCAGACTGCAGCTCCACCATGTCCACTCCACTCCACAGCTCCCTCCTCCAGCAGGGAACGGCCCACCACCTCTGAAGTTGCAAGTCCGGTATTCTGGACACGGGGCGGTGGGGTCTGAGTAACATATGGCCGCCAACTTTCATGCATTGAGCTTGAGACACATACATTTGGCCCTCTTCACACGCTCTCATGCCACACCTCCAATTTCTCACGCTGAAGAATACCCCACCCCCACTCTCACGCATTGAAATGTTCAAAAGTTGGCAGCCCTGCTAACATTTCATTACCCCGTAAAGGGGCGTTTTAGCACACATTGGCTCAAGACAATGATTTAAATATGTGAAGAAAATGTATAGTATCCCTTTAAAATAAGAAATCATACTGCTTTTGAAGCAACCCCCCCCCCCCCCCACACACACACACACACACACATTTTTTCTATATTTTTTTATTATAATCGGTCACTCTGAGTTTTTAATACAGGAATATGATAATAGTCTTTGGAAGTTCCTGCTAGCTCCCAAAAGCTAAAACATGCATGTTAGTTAACTTTAATATGTTTTGCAAGCAAAATTATGTGCTAGCAGACTCCAACCTCGCTAGCAACTTTGCTGTCATTTTCTAGAAAATTCAGTAGAAGCAAAATTAGAACCTCTTAAACCATTTATTAGTCTAGAGTGTTAACCAAATTAAATGCTGACAAAATGTAGCATAGCTAGCTAGCAAATACCAACACTAGCAAACAGATCTTTTGAGCGTAGTCCCACAAATTTGTATAAATTTATACAAAATTTCTGTTTATTTATATAAGGACAATACTTTTAAATGTAAGTTCTGTTGGCATTCAGGAGTCGGAGGAATCATGGAGTATGTTTTCCAGTAGCGGTTTTAGGCACGGGCAGTTGCCCGGGGTGGCATTTTTTCATGACACAAAAGGGGCGCACAAGCGCTGAGTAAAAAAATAAAAAAGAAAGAAATCTGCGCCGCACCGAGGTTTTATATTATCTGTCATATCACAGAGTCTGGATTAGAAACAGCAAGTTGGCGCCCCCTGCAGCTGCAGGCGCTCCTGCTGACTAACGAACGTTCACGTGCACCGTGTGTGTATGAAGAACAGGAAGGGGAGGGGTGCGGCGGGGGAATTCACCTCTGGGTCTTCCCAAATGAAATAAGCGGGTAGGGGCTGAATCAACTGTATTAGCATGGCTAAAGTCAATCACATCTTGATGTTCTTCCATTTAACGCACATTTCATTCATAATATCATAAACACAGGCCTATCATTCTTTCAGGTTTTTCTGAATTGTGTGAAATGGCCAAATAAAAAAGGAAAAACAAAACGATTTTGTGGTCCCCAGCCCCCCCACCCCCCACCCCCCCCACCCCCCCACCCCCATCAAGGTCAAATTGTTTAGTCCTGACTAAAGGAAACTTATTGAGTCAAGAGCCAAACAGAAGAGATGAACATAAAAAGGCTAAAACCACCAGGTGCCCGATTCAGGAAAAAATAAGAAAAAAGAGGAGAAAGATAAAGGTATGTACGCTCTCATGATGCATGTTTTCAGTTATTTGAACCAGTTAACTGGGATTTTAACGGTTAAATTCGGTCAACTAATTGCTAACAGAGCTAATAGGGCTGAAATATTGAAACGAATATTCAAATGGTTCGAAAAAAATCCTTGAATCATTTTTTACTGATTCAAACTAGGATTTGTTAAATGCTCGCTGCAGCCTGTGGCCTGCCCGAACAACAACAAACACATGTTGATCATGATCACATAATAATAAATAAAACAACTCTACAAGCAGAAGAAAACTCCCCAGTCACCACTAACTATCCTGTTTGTTTATTGCAGATGGCTGCACTGATTATTTTTTACATGATCTGTTCTGTAAAAGTTGGCATTTTTGGTAGTCTACAGTTTTTTTTATGTCCGTTTAAATTACAATTTCAGAGGCAATATTATGGATCGTGATAAAGATCTATTTGAGATCTACCCCAACCTTTGGACTGCTCTGCCAGTCACTGTGGCTCCAGCTGAGAGGAGCTTTTCAAAACTTGATCAAGTCATACCTGAGGTCAACTATGTTTCAGGGGCGGCTCACTAGCCTGGCTCTGATTAGTATCAATCACTCAGTAGGGGAGCAGATTTCATATGATGACATTATTGATGACGTTGCATCAAGGTTAGGTTTTAATTTTAGTTTGTGTTTTCTGTTCTAAGTGCAATGCTGTAGTGATTATCTTTAGTTTGTTATGTGTGCAATATTTTTGCTATTTAGAATATTTATTATCTATTATGTTAATATATTCTTAATATTTAGTTATTGTTTGTTTTTGTATGTTTGATTCTATATATTTTGATACAGTATATAATGTATATTGCTTTACATTCTGACAACTTCATAGCAAGTCACCACCTACCAGATTCTTACTCAACTCCCACTTCCTGTTTGAAAAATGGTAAATGGTAAATGGCCTGTATTTGATATAGCGCCTTCTAGAGTCCTGGAACCCCCCAAGGCGCTTTACAACACAACCAGTCATTCACCCATTCACACACACATTCACTCACTGGTGGGGATGAGCTACAATGTAGCCACAGCTGCCCTGGGGCACACTGACGGAGGCGAGGCTGCCGAGCACTGGCGCCACCGGTCCCTCCGACCACCACCAGCAGGCAATGTGGGTTAAGTGTCTTGCCCAAGGACACAACGACAGCGACAGACTGAGCGGGTCTCGAACCTGCGACCTTCCGATTGCGAGGCGAGCACTTAACTCCTGTGCCACCGTCGCCCCAAATGCAACAAATTCTGTTGCCTAGCAGACCGAGAGGGTGGAGCCACTAACAAATACACACACTCACGACATTGTAACATCATAATGTACCATCTAACATCATAGTGTACCTCTTAGCCAATAGCGACAGCAGATTTAAATTCAAATGCAGTGCTGAGTTTTTACCTGACAACGGTGCAACACTGACAGTTTTAGGCAGAACATTTAAATTTTAACTAAGATGCACTAAAGTGCCGAATTATTGACTACACGTGTCTGCAGCACGATCAGACACTCATTTATATAGTTTATCAGGAAAAAAATGTTGATTTGGAGTGACTTGCTCTTTAATGTAAATATGTGCAACTTAGAAAAATGAGTGTTCAATAGTTGTTCTAATAAAACATGCCTGTTTGTAGAAAACATGCGTGTGTGCGTGCAGGTGGGGTGGTGGTGGTGGTGGGGGGGGGGGGGCGCTCAAAGGGGGCCTCGCCCAGGGAGTAATTCCATGTAGAACCGCCACTGATGTTTTCCATCAGCTCCCAGTTCTTCTGAAGCTTTTACTGGAGGAGGAAAAGAAAAGCACAACGATTTCTTGTTATTCGCTTCACTTAATGACTGACCGATGAATTTTCAAGCTGTGTGACTAAATGAAAAAGGCGCAGGATGTCTTGATGGGTAGAAAACTACCTGTAATTTGTTCAGCCAGTAAAAAGGTTTATATATAGAAAGAATCAAAGGTCCGTTTCTTCTCCCTCTGACTCATTCACCATCTCTCCCTCTTTTCTCAGGAATTCATGTGTGGCTCCATCAGCAGTCTTCAGGCTGACAGGAGGCCTCCAGAGTGCGTTTTGTCCGCTCGACGCCACCTCCTCTGCTGACAGCCTTCAGTTGCCTGGAGACATCGCTCCAGACACAAGCTGTGGTAAATGAGCAGGTTGTTGATCAAAGCCCATGACGGCTTCACTGCTGCGCTCTAAACAACGCACTCTCACTTCCAGTTCTGTGCTAACAACAACTTGTAGGCTTCTCCATACACTGCACCCTGACATTAGCCTCCTGTCAGAAAACAATCACATTTGCTGTGTATTCTGCCAAGATGTGTCTGCTTGATTGGGATGGGTGGTTTCCTGAAATTAGCAATGCAAAACAGTGCAAATCTGAATTTTAAAACAGAGTTCTGCGATGATGAAGCCGTCTGATGGGCTTTACATGTTTGGTGGAAACATACGTCTGCCATTACAGGCTTTGTGGTGTTGATTGTGGAGCATAATTTTCTCCCTGAAGGTTGAAACGGTGCACTGATGGCGTGATCTCAAATGGACGCTGTTTGGATTGGAAGATGTCATTTAACTACCCAAAAAATAAATAAAAACTCAGATACATACAACTGTCTGTAGACCTGTACTATTTTAGTAAAATGATTAGGATAAGGCTAACCTCACAATAACGCAGGCAGCGCCTTTTTCAAACACTTGATGCTGCATTGCACATTTTACTGGAGGATTCCGCTAGGGGGCGCTGTAGAGGACTCAGATCGGATAGTGTGGTGGATTTGTATGGTACAAACAAAACAAACATGGCGACAAGAGAAGAGTTAAGCAGCTGGTTAATTTTGAGATGGCGACAGAGAAAAAGTCAACAGCAGTATCATAGATAGTTAGGGTTAGACCTCTAAACCAGATATGCCTTGCTCTGTTTGCCAATGAGACACACTTCTACTGGCTACTCTCTTATTGCAGCTTGTGGACATGTGTAAATTTCAGAGAACACACACAAACAATGCTTCAAACAAATGCTAATTGCACGAGGCAGCCATGATTAACACGTGTACAAGTATTTAAAAGCAGGTTTGTTCCCAGCTTTAGTATAATCATCAAGATTTATTTAGACTGGGCTGTTTTGAAAGAGCACGTGATGATGCGCATGTTTGCATGAATATCCATTGTGAAGGGTCTTCTTGGAAGAGCTGTGCTTTTCTCATCTGGGTTTTCAGGACTTTGACATTGTCGTGCCACAGAGCAGCAGCCTAAAAAGCCCAATTAAAGGCCTTCAAAATCCGGTGGAGCTTCTTGAATCCACCTATATCAAATAAAACAGTCTAGTCACCCATCTCCTTGGTCCACACTGCAGGAAAATCATGTTGATTTTTGTCCCAATTCTCACTGTCCCAACAGCACACCGCAATAAAGATGATCTTAGACATTCCTGCCATATGTGGTGTGTTAAGATCATTCTGGTCTGCTCTGAAGCACATTGAGACCACTCCAATCATAAAGCAGGGCTTTACAACATGCTTGACTGTCTTGGTCCAAGTTTTGAGAGCAAATAAGCATGCTGTGTGTTCAATGGGACATGTAGCCTTGTTTGTGTCCTGGTGTCATCTCAAGTAGCATTTGATTTCTCAAGATTTCCCGTCTAATCGGAGGAATGTTCGTAGCTGAAGTTGTTTCATGCGTATAGTTTTTGCTGTGTTGCCACACTGCACCCACTGTAGGACCAAAACTAGTACATCCGTGATTTAGATTTTTTATGTGTAGGGTCTCATGGTTTGAAAATCGTCAGACATTTTTAAAAAACAGCCATGTGAACGGAACATCACAGCTTGCGCCCTTCACCTCCTATGTGTCCTATTTGCTGTACGTCCAGTGCCACAGATGGAGGCTGAATGCAGCTCACGTTAGCAGCTTTCTTATTAACACTAATATCCAGTTGTAGCATCAAGGTTCAGCCAACAGCAGAAACATGCTGCAGACTCCACCTGATTGTTTACATGACAGAAACAACTTCGTGAAGCATTCCAAAAGGAGCAATTCACCTGACACATCTGCAGGTAAAACATCTTCCACTGGATGCTGACAAAGAAATCGGATTCTTTGTGCCATGCACGGTTATCTCTGAGGAAAAGCTCCAACTGCACCGTGTTATGTCGGTGTTTGAATGCAGAGCAGACATGTTGGTTGTGTTTTAGAGCCACAACTACAGTGAATTGTTATTTTTAACATTGAATTATTGGTAAAAAATAAACATTTTAGCAAACAGTTTTTACTGACTGTTATAAATCTGCAACATGGTTTCTTTGAAGCTTATAAAACAGATTTTGTCATGTTAGAAAATCTGTTTAAAACAGAATGAAAGAGTTTGCCCCTTTATTCCCCTTTCATGCTTCGTATTGAAATCATTTTTAGATGTTTGAAGCTCCTTGGGGAAGGTTCAGGGAACTTCATGACTTTCCTTTAAGTAGATTCTCCAAGTTTCTAATCTTCTTTTCTGGCTCACCGGGTTACGAGTTTCATCTCGTTTTGGAACAAGTATAAAACCCTCCCAGTAAAAAAAAAAAACAGCTCGTCTTAAAATAAGATTTGCAAAACATCTTATAGAAATAAAGGGATGCCCAGCTTCTTTTCTCCATCACTGGAGCAGGTTGAAATATGAGGGAGGGAGGCGGCAGATTTCCATTTTCCTACATGCCCGGGGTTATGACCCTTGTCATTTTTACTGCACTGATTTATTTAAATGATGCATCCAGTTTAAGGGTTGCAGATCAAATCTCTCATTGTGCAGGCTGAATGTCCTCTCTCTTCACCGCTGCCAGGCTGAACAGTATCAGCCTGTTTTTTTGTTTGTCCCTCTTTTCTTTTAAAGTAACACTAAATTGTTTTGTAAACTAGAGTTTGAACATTGATCTCAGTGATTGTTGGGTTAGAAACTTGACCAGTTTAACAGTTGACACCACTCTGCAGCCCTCTGCTGGCCAGATACTGCACTTAACAGTTCGGTGGAGCGGGTAGGTGTTCTAGGGGGCGCTCTTATACCTGCATTACGGCGGTTAGCTCTTTTCTGTGCAGCTAGCTTTTTCACTTTGCCATTAGTCAGAAAAAAAAGTAAAAGAAAAAGAAAACATTTGCTTTTTTGTTGGCATCGCGGCGGAGCCTTGAAGTAAAAGTAAGAGAGCGATGTCTTTGAAGGTGAAGCAAAAAGCTAAAACCAGAGTAAACATTTGCGTTGCCTAAACTAGTTTGAGGAAGCTGAAAAAGGCTATGAAATCATGGGCTGATGGTGACCTGGGTTTGTTGCTACAAGACTTGTAAGTAATAATATTTTCTGTCCAACAGTGTGGCTCTTTTCAATTTGTGGCTTATTTAGTAAGACTTGGCTCAAGCTAGGGTCAACTTGTTGCTAGCACTAGCTACAGCAGGCTGCTGCAGGGTTGCTTACGGTAGTTGCATTTCTACTTTCAACCAGTAGGGCAGAGGAGCATGAAACTGCTCGGTGGTACTTTAATTATAACGTTTCAGATTATTCTTTAACTCATTTTGTTTCTATATACATCTATTAAATAGCATATTACATGAAATGAGTCACAAATAAATATAATTATTTTTATTTGACACCAGAACTTATTTAGTCCATATTTATATTCATCTTTTCTAGACACGTTTAATGCACCAGATAATAATTGTTCTGTTCAATTTGTTTAGCTGATAAATAAACGATGCAGAAAAAAGTAATAAGTAACATTAACTTCATTACATTTACTTCTTTACTTAAATGAATTTTTCTTCTGTTCAGGCATTAAACGAGGCAGCATCACATCCTCCAGCACAGACACAAAAGCATCCTCCAATCTCCTGACATCCTTCAGCTCTCCGTGTGAAGTCTGCAGTGAGAGCAGAACTTGACTCCTCGGTTACGAGTGACGCTGTTGATGGAAGATCTCAACACATCGAACCAGATACTCCACAAGCAAGAAGCTGTCCAAACTACCTGGTTACACGGGGACAGGTGACAGCCGGCGGCAGCTTTGGGATGTGCTGCTGGATCCAGATTCAAGGGAACATCTGGTGGTTTGTACACTGGGAGCTTTCGCGTCTCAGTTTTATCTGCTTTCTGACACTTAAACTCACTCAAATCATTTCTCAAGGGAGAGCTGGAGGGCAGAAAAATATATTTATTAGTCGGTTCAAATGGGTCAAAGAAAATCCTCCGTTTAGAGACTAAAATGTCACTGAAAATCAAACTGAAGGACCCCCTAAAGATCAGCGCTAGACTGAAAGTGTGTCTCTGTTTAAAAGCTCCTGTAACCAACTGTTACCCAGCCTGTTCCACACTTACTTCCTCTAAAAATAACAACAAAGTGAGAAATGGTTTCAGGCTTACAAACAGCTTTTGACTGTGAGACTGTCATTCAGACCGCACCTTTACAACCAATTAGTTCTCTTTGTGTTAGAACATGTCATGGTAAAAGCTAACGAGGTTAGAATTTACTGGAAAAGGAAAAGCAAACAAACATCTGTAATGAATACAGATGTGAATGTGCCGGTGCCAAGGAGCATTAGTGCCACATCGGAGAAAAAACAAACAACCCGCCAAGAATATAGAATCAAATTTAAAGGAAAATGTGAAGAAATGTGTCAAAAATAGTATTTACAGAAAAAACAGAAATAATTAGAAATAAATATATAATATAATACTTTCCTACAAAAACAGAATTTTAAGATTAGTTGCGATATACTTTTCAAAATGAAATTGAGATGTTGAGAAAACAGTCATTTTTTTCAGCGTTAACAACAGAATTTTACGAACTTCCTTTGAAGTGCTGACTGGGGGGGGGGGGGGGGGGGCACCGTTTCATCCAGTTGATGCGCCTGGGGGCGGTGTTTGATTGATCAGCGTGAGATATTGGAGGTGTGGCGTGAGAGCGTGTGAAGAGGGTCAAATGTGTCCGTCTCATACGGTGCCTGTCTGGTGACATTGAGGGGAAAAAAAAAAAAAAAACTCATGGCCATGAATTAACAACTCGTTCCCACGCATTATGTATCTCGTGGTCACGAGTTTTATTTTTTTTTACCTCAATGTCACCAGACGGGCACCGTAGTCTCACGCTCAATGCATGACAGTTGGCAGCCCTGAGCTAATGCTAGCCTGAGCTTCGCTTAACGCTACCTGGAGCTTCTTCTAATGCTAGCCCGGGGTGCCCAATCCTGGTCCTGGAGGGCCGGTATCCAGCAGGTTTTGGGGCTTTTCTGCTCCAACACGCTTGATTAACTGGCTGAATCACCTGTGCAGCATCTCATCAGGCTCTGCAGAAGCCTGTCAATCCCCTGCTGATTGAAATCAGGTGTGTTGAAGCAGAATTAAAACTAAAACGTGCTGGATACCGGCCCTTGAGAACCAAGATTGGGCACCCCCTGTAGCTAGCCCAAGCTAAAACTAATGCTAGCCTGAGATGCTGAAGAAAGCGACAAAGAACAATACTGAAGCTACACTCACATTCCAGAATGCACAGGGGAAATCTAGACTGAATGTATACTACATAATCCAAAATGATAACTAAAATGTGTTTTTCTGCGTTCCACACGTTTAATATTGCATTGAACAGTTCTTAGTCATTTCTGGCATTTCCTCAGATGTTTTCTCCGCTTGATGCATGCCAGTGACCTGACCCTTCTCTAATAGACTAACATCTTTTCTACGACCGCCAGGTGTGTCTTTCCACATGGTTGTTTAAGAAATGAGAAGCACCTCATTGCACCAGTTGGGGTTCAATAACTTCTGGCCAGCTGAATGATAATCTCCCATGAAGCAATTATCTAATAGGAGGCTCATACCATTTAACTTAGTCTTAGATTTATTTTTTGTATATATATAGTGTATTTGAATGTTTTCCACATGCTTTTCGTGTTCAGGCTGCAATTTGGGTAAACATATTCACGAGTTTTTTGGCTGAGTGACGGAAATATTAATCACAAAGATAAATGTGAGCAATCCAGACAAAAAGATTGGATTTTTCCAAAATAAATGACAATTCATACGCCTGAAGTGAAGTTATTGCAAAGAGCATCTCTGAGATCTTTAATGTCAAGTTTATTATCAGTCAGTTTAAATGATGTTTGTCTCAACTAAAGCTGCTCTGTTAGAAAATACAAAGAGAAAAGTTGATTTAATCTCTTTACTCTAACACTGCCATACATCACCTGATCCGTAATCACTCTTTGAGGAGGAGGAACATGGATGGATGGCTTTAGAGCGGTGAGATTTGCACCGGAGGGCCACTGGGAATCAGAGACAGAAGCATATGCTAATAGAAATACAGTGCTAATCCATCACTGAGTCTCTTCAGAAACAATTAAGTCAAATTATATCCAGCCCCCACTCTGGCACTTTAATCTGGATCCAGATGGGGACCCAGCTTATCAACAGGTGGCCTCTCCTCATACGAACCTTCATCCCACCACCGTCATCCCAACCTCTGGAAACAATGGTGGACCAGAAGGGCCAGGCATATGAGTGAAATACGAGACGCACGAGTAATTATGATGGAGCGGGTGTACGTGTGCGATATCCATTTTACAATTAACCACCTACCGCGCCTCATTGACACCTGTCTTAGTCTTTTGTCTGTGGTTAGAACAAAAGGATGAAAATGAGATGCAGGCATGGCTGCTGCACAATTTTTACACTTCATCGCTTTTTGTTTTTAGTAGTAAAACTGAGAAAAGGAACAAAACCTGCAATGAACACCATCTTAAAAAGGCCTGAAACAGTTTTTCTTGTGAAAGACTCTTTGAAACCTAATTAGACTTCATTTGAGAACATCTTTTTTTGTGGTTTCCGTGCACAAACTGCTTGTTTTTTTCCTTGTGGGGATTCACAAATCCAGGATGGAGGAATGTAGACATAAAACACATTTTACATCCACTGCTTCTCTTGAATGATGCTGACATGTACGGCTGAAGCCTTAAACATTCAGCAGGCAAATCTGAAAACAAGGTTATTCCCTGCTGGTGAGAGCGTCTGAACTTTGTATACACACACCATCACAAAGAATGGAGTCGGCCTAATATAGCAGATCACATTAAAAAGGTGGAATTCTGCATCCATGTTGCAGCCGGGGATGATGAACTCAGATTGCTTCTCCCTCGACTCTCCATCACTGATAATTCATCACACTGACGAATTGCTTTCTGCATCCCACTTGGGCGTGGGTGCAATCAACCCGTAATGCACGTGCTAATCGACCCCAATCAGCACCTTGTTCCTGAGCAGGGTGGGCTGAGAACACTCGGGGGTGCCTCTGTTTCACTCCATGGGAGCTTCAGGTAACTCAGGTAGATTGTGAATTCATGAAGGAAAGAAAAAAAGCACATGAAACGTTCTGTGAGGCTACTTTGTACAGAAGCATGACTCACAGAGCCGTCTAATGACGCGTCTCATCGGCTAAATAAAGGCTTGCCGTTGTGCCAGAGTTTTCCTAATCCATTTGTCAGATTCACTTTAATAAAACAGCCTTTTTTACGTGTTGATGCTGTGTGTCCTGAAGGTCTAAACCCAACGGAGGGGCGGAGCTACAGAAACAGGAACCCTTTGAGCCAGATCATTCAAACTCGTCAGCTTCAGTATGCTTTTGATAAACGCTTGGCTTCAAGTTCCTCACGCGTCTACGGAGAAGGGCGCGGACAACTTCAGACGGGCTGAGATGGAGCTCGCTAATGAGAGCGGGAATGAAGTTTGGCACAAGGAGAGCTCATTCTAACTAGAAGAGTTACACAGTGATGCTTGATAGTGATGTTTATCTGCTGGAACGGTTGAAAAAAACTACTTTCCCTGAGACCCGATTCTGAATAAGCAGCATGTTTTTGGACAGTGGACGGAATCCTGAGTGCAAAGAACACCTATGCATGAGGAGGTCTTGTAAACGTCACACAAAAAGAACACTTCTGAACTCTAGCCTAAAGTTAAATCAGAAATATTTGCCAAAACCCAACTGCACGTAAGCTGGTAAGGGTAACACCTTGTAGACAAACTCACACCATACCACGTCTGACCTTAACTTATCCAGTTGGAGCATCAAGATTAGTACCTTCATCTCAAACCTGCCATTTCACATCCTTTACTGCCCCCTGGTGGAGGATCTACAGATGACAAGCGCCACATTTATTAATTTATCACTGTTATATTGTTATAGAACTCTGATGAAGTAAATTTTACAGCTGTTTGTGACACGGTTCTGTTTGAAAAAGTAGATATTTTATTTTTACATAGGCATGTAGAATTAATACTTTCTATTTTAAAACATGGGGATGAGACGCTTTTGAATCAGGACACAATGATTTCTAAGAGAAATATTTCATTTCTATTTGAATTCTAATTTATGTATTTAAAAATAAACATGTCATTTTTCTGCTGCTGTTGTCAAAGCTGCTGTTAACTCCTGAATTTAGCTAAATACTCTGATTTATTGTGGCTGAAAACATGGGCATATATTTTTTCTTTTATTGGGGGGGCACTTTTTCTTAAGGCAGTGTGGATCCATTAATGATTTCTAATTATTTTTCATGGAACAAGGTAGAATGTTCATTTTGAATTTGGTTCCTTGACACCCTCCCCCTACCACCACTCAAGCCGTTTGTGTCCCGCCCACTTTTGAAATGAAAAGGACTTCATTGGCTGAAAACACACACGTCTTTGGAGTTTACTGTCAGCTTTACCTACTCCGCTGCTGAAATGGTTTTCCTTGTCCCGAACGCGTTTACCAAATATTTACAACCAGTCCAAATAAACATAGTTGTGTTTCAGAGCTAAACAGCACCCTTTACTGGAACCATCTAAAAAGCAGCACAAACTTAGTTTTCACCATTTTTGGATCCATTTTTAATTAGAGGACAGATGTAGTCGGTCTAAAGGTCATTTCGGCTGATCGAGCTACTCCTTCATCTGCAATCGACCCAAGATTCTTGGACTTTGGATGCTGCATTCACCATTTTGTGTTTTTTCAGGTTGAGAGACTAAAGATGGTGACTTTTAAGTGTCCCACAGCATGAAACACACAAACACACTCACGCTGTGTTGTATTATCGACGGTCCTAATGGAACGGCTCCAGTGAATGCACCAAACGTCATCTAGACAAACCTTTGTTTTGCTGACAGCTTCTTTCATTTAGCAGAACTAAAGACTTTCATTTCTCATCCAGATAACAGAAAAAGGACACCCTTTCCAATAAAACATGACTAATGATGGTAAAAACACCACGGGTCACACTTGTTTACAAATACTTAAACATTTCCAGTCAGGTCTTTTCCTGAAATGGACCTCTCAAACAAATTAGTGACCCTTTGTTAAAAAAGCGTCTCATGTGATGTGAAGAGGAGATCAAGTTTTACAGGTGGAGCAGTTTCAGACTGATCAAAGTATGAACGCCGCTGCCATCTCACAGCTGACAATTTCATTACCAAGCAGATGAGTCGGAGATGTTCGCAGCGTACTTTCTCTCTGGGAAATTGCGGAAGGCAGCAAGTGCGCTCGGTAATGCCGGTGTGCAAACACTCAGCGTTGGAAGGAGTCTAATAAATCAGATTCTGATGATTGTTTGTTTTCACTTTAGCTGAGGTCTCCATATGATGAGAAAATAGTCCAACCTTTCAAGATTGTGAAATTATTTCCTAACCTCTGGAGGAAAGTGGCTTTTCCTTGGA